TAATTCTAACTAAAACTAACTGGAAGTGCAAAAACCACTTGCACATGCCTTGAACGTAGGTCTACTGATAATCACCTGCCTTGTCTGTATATAGTTCAGAGTAGGCTTTCATAACGAGGCCACTTGACTTGAGCTGCCCTGTCGTGCGGCTTGGCAATGTGCAAACAAATATGCCGCAACAACAAAGGTAACTGAAAACAAATGTGCACAGCTAATTATATACATATGATATAAGATATGTGATATATGTATATATATGAATATTTATAAATTACGCAACCTTGTGTGGTGTTGGCTTAAAAGAAATTGCATGGAAATGTTTGCGATCTCAATTTGTTGCGTCAATTTGGGTCAGCTGTCTACTTGATAAATAAATTAAATTTAGGTTATACTTTAAGCTATACTTTAAGTTACATTTAAGTTATACTTTAGGTTATATTTTAAGTTATACTTTAGGTTATAGAGGCAAATCACTGAGTAAAACAGAATCCAACAGCTGGTCAAAGCTGAAATTCTTTTCTTAATCAACCGATAGTCGTTAGCTAATACAATCTAAAAACAACTAAACATCTCATATTGCTGTGCATCTGAATTGTCTAATACTAGAACCCTCTGACTCATAAATTTCTCCGCCTTCAAAAGGTTATCTGCTTTGATTTTTGGCACTTTTTGAGTATAGTTAACTATATATTTGTCATTTACTAAAAGCTTCGTCATCATGACATATATCGAGTTCTTACTCCGAAGTCTCCTTTATGCATACAAGCCGATGTGTTCATGATCAACGCCTAAAGTATTGAATTATATTAAGAGCTTTCACAAATTAATCACCACCAAAAAGTTTGTGACATAACAATTTACCGACTTTTTTGGAGAGAAGTGGAAAACGCAGCCGATATGTAGATCTTTTAATGCACGGACTAACTTACTCACACGGACTCTGACTTTTACTAAAATGGCGGAAAGTATCAGTAAAAAGTGCTCAATAGATTATTCCTAAGACTTGTTCGCTACTTAGCTGAATCCACTCTTAAATTTCTAACTCCTTTCGACACAAATTTTGTCTAAACTTGTTTGGTTGAAATCAGCAAAAGAAGGAGAATATTTCTTGCATATTTTGATTGACACCAGGAAAGTTCTCGGGCTATGTGATTTATATTCCAAGTACAAAGGGGTGTCCAACTGCTTGTCTTATTGTTTAGTCAGAGAAGTGGACGACTAATAACTATGTTTTCCTCTCCTCTCCTCTCCATTCCTTTTCTTTACTTTCCTCTCCTTGAGTTTCTTTCCTTTTCTCACCATTCCTTTCCTTATCTTTTATTGTCTTTCCTTACCATTTCCGTTCCGTTCCCTTCCTTTCCTTTCCTTTCCTTTCCTTTCCTTTCCTTTCTTTCTTTTCCTTTCCTTTCCTTTCTTTTCCTTTCCTTTCCTTTCCTTTCCTTTCCTTTCCTATCCTTTCCTTTCCTTTCCTTTTCTTTCCTATCCTTTCCTTTCTTTACCATTCAAGCAGCTTTAGGTAATCTGGAGCTCATTTTAGGACGAGAGTTCATTCAAGAAATTAAAATTTCCGATGGCTTTAAATGCGGCTATGCACATACGGAACACAGTTAATTATTTCTGTTCTGTTCTGGTCAGCAGGACTGTACAGGCTCCTTGTAGGCGAGTTTTATTCTTAATCGATCGCAGTTTTTGCTACTATCTATCATACATATTTATGTATGTGATTCATCTAAATCCAGTACTGTTTCTGTATAACTTCGATCGCGTGTGGAAAATTCACATAGAGTTTTTAAGTTTTGTCTTAAACAGGTTTCGAACTGACGATCATAAGTTCGTTAATCGCTCATCCAGTGACGTTCACATAAGAGGTTAGATGGGTTTCAGAGGTACAAAAAAAAGGTACTTTAACGATCTTTTTTTATACAAACAATCATATATTTGAAAAATATAATATATTATACAAAGATATATGTTCTAACAATATCTTCTGAAATTTCGATACAAAAATATTGAAAATTCCGCCGTTGAGACCGCATTTCCCTGGGTGTCTCTGAAAAAAGTGCTTTCGCCGTGGACAGCATAACTTATTATTGGTTCATATAAAATAAAAAAAACGGAGCATATTCTGTTAGTACATATCTAAATCTCGTTTGAGAACGTAATAAAAAAAAATATTAAAATTGTCCTTCTTTTCTCGGACTTTGAACAAAAGATCTCATTTTTGGTAAAATTTTCAACATTTTTTAGTCAGATAAATAAGTTGTAATGAAACAAGAAAACATTCTTCGTTCAATAACTAGATAATATTATTTCAAAAACGTGTACACAATACGAACTAAATCGGTCGATAACTTTTCGAGAAATCGTGTCTACCGACTTCAAAAACACTGTTTCGAGAAAAACGCGTTTATAGACAGTGCCAGCTAGCCTTTAGTGCACAAGTTCGCAAGGCTGTATCTCCGAAATTATTACTCAGATCAACTTTAAAATTTAGGAATATATTTTAGAGGTATTGTAGAATTTAATAAAACAAAAAAAAAAAAAAAAAAAAAATCGATTTTTGGAAATTTTCAAACCCACCTAACCCCTTAACAAAAAGTGCTGGCCACTTCAGTTCGGTTGACGTGTTTACAATTCAACGGACGCATGTTTAAGTGACCTCATTCACCAGTCACAAAGGTGAATTGGTTAACTGACATGTAGACATAGCGACTGCACATAAACTATGCACCCAGATCTATATTTGTGCTACGAGTATAAACTTGACAGCAACGCGAACAATGAATCATTTGAATGGATCAACCGCTTTTTAGCGCTATATATAAGCACATGCTTGCATACATATTTATTTATACAACTGCTGGCTGGCCAACCCATAAGCCACACTGCGAGCTTCCTCATTGCATTCAACGCTGCTCAACTGACCGTGCTGCATTTATTGCCGTGGCTTCTGGTGTGGTCACGTTTTCGACGCGTACACTGCCTTCAGCCGTTGAGCGCATGAGACTGACACATTTTTATTGCTTATTTACTCACACTGACCATGTTTTCTTATTTGCGAACGGGTGTGTGCACATTCTGAGCTGTTGTTGTTGTTATTGTTGTTGCGCATACCGAAGTGCGCCAACGCTTGCTTCCGATTATCAAGAGCAATATTGCTAATTAAATGCAACGCTGCGTAGCATCGCACGTAACTGTAAGATGTGACCCATTTTCCGGAATTAACTCGTGTGCCGCAGCGCATGTACTTACGTATATATAAATAAACATATACATATGTATGTATATGTATATACAACAGACGTTTGTATGTTTTGATTGTGGCTGCGTGAAATGCAGGGCGTTGGTTGCCAACACGTGATCCACTGGATAGGCAATGCCAATTTCCATTGCTTTTATCACAATTCGTTTTTTTTTAGCAATAAATTTCCATTAATTTTATGAGCGTTTTGATTAAAATTTGCGTAATTAAATTTATTATTGAAGTTATTTGCTTAGTGATTTTATGGTAATTTTTTTTATTAGACTATCATATATTGTAAATTTTACAACTGTTTTGATATTCCCAATTTATTTAACAAATTTCTTCGTGATATGCGGTCGAATATAAGTTCCATCATCACCAGTAATAATTTATTGAAAACTCTCGTCAATTTGAAAACATCGCCCGTCTCAAGAACATTTTCGTATTTTTCAACGTATTTGCAGCCATACAGCTTACGAAGATGTGCGCCACCCGTTGAATGCTCTCGGGTTTCTTCATTTGAAGAACCCTCCACCACATAAACTCTTCATAAAACATAATGGTCTTGACTATGCTGTCGCAGAACCAGAGGACCCCTTCGGCGAGAGACCCCACATTTGCCAATGACTCTTCTACAGCAGTATAAGTTTCGTATTTTTCAATATTAAGCTGTTAAACATTGTCTTATAGCAAGAGCTTCGATTCTTCTTCGCTACTGGTGGAATTATACATTTGCTTTTTGGAATAAGAGTTGTCCCTAGAGAACACATTTTAATATTAAAATATTTCATAAAATCCGTTTCTGTAGCGCTGTAGAGAGAAAGCTGAGCGCGGTGGGTTCTACACGTAGCATGTGGACTCCCAGATCTATCAATTGTTGGAAAAAAATTCTGCAAATATTGTTACAGGGTACCGATACCTCCTGAGAGCTGCGATCGCAGGATGAATTGCCCTCGATCTCCACCCTTTCTCATGCAATGCATTTCGATGGCGTAGTACTTAAATTTGAGAGCATTTGCCCATATCTTTTATACTGCTTAGGTTACATTGATCTCTATCAATAATATCTAATCGAATAAGTTGGTATACTTTGATAATACCGACTATTTTAGTTATATTAGCGACGACGCTTTTTTGACTTCAGAAGTGATAGTTATTTGACCGCTGCTCGGTCGAAACTAATGGAGAATGGTCGTTGTACTACTAGGTTTAAAGAGTTTCAGTGTCCTTATGGAGCCTGGCTCGGCCTGGCCTACCGTAATAAAAAACATTTTCTTTTTCGTTTTTTATTCAACATAGTTTTGATTATAGCGATCCTCTAACTTTTCGGTATCCTTTCTGTAGCATGAGTTGTAGTTTGCTTAGAAATAGGCTTGAGTTTCGGCGATCAATTCTTCACTCTACGAAAATTACTTCCTAGCGAGCTAGTTCTTTTGAGATCTGAGAACAGGAAATAGTCGGTGGAGGCCAGATCTGGAGAATACGATGGATGCAGAAGCAATTCAAAGTCCGATTCATGGATTTTTTACATGGTTTTCATTGACTGATGACATGATGAATTTTTTTTCCATTTTATCACTTCGTCTTGTAGCCCATCAGTTGGGCACAGCTCCTGATAGAACTTTGACCGTTATTTATATATACATATATATTTTTTTAAATATTTTGTCATAAATATTTTATAACAATTACATGCTTTTAAAGCTCTTTACACCTTCTCCAACTAATAAGCTCCCTCATTCTCTTTTACTTCCAGTGGCAGGCGGACGCACCTCATCCACACTGCGCGTACGTGGCCAAAGCGACGACAGTACAGCCGACAAATCCTACACAGAACCGTTACGCGGTGAACGATTGCGTATGGAGGACGAGGAGGATGAACAGGAATTATCCGAGAACTTCGTCTCTTCATCCACCATGGGACCGGAATTGGTGCGGGCAATAATCGACGAACATATGGAGCTGGACAATGACACACTCGATGAAGAAGACTGCGAAGTACATTCCATAACAGGTGGCGCGCGCTATGACAATGACATTGCTGCCACCAACAGCAACAGCAACAGCAATARCAACAACCATAGCAGCCAAGCACGACAAATGCTGCATTGCACCGTTAAAACAGTATTCCCAGCACCAGCGCTGAGCGACAAACAATTGCTGACAACACACACAACGAATTTGAGCGCCAGCAACTGCAACAAAAACAACAGTCACAAGCGTCTTTACGGCAGCGATGAAGAGGACACCGACTCCGACACATATTCTAGCATGTGTGAGATCAAGAAAACCGAAGGTCTGCTATCGATAGCATTGAAGACGATCAAATTGGTGAAACGTAATCAATTGTTGCAAAGGCGTTTGGCGCAGCTGCAGGTCGAGACATCGGAGTTCATACAATCGGTAATGGCAAATCCGGAGAATCGACACATTCGCGGTAATATGAATTCGCCGGCAACAACAATATCGTCAACACCGTCATCACCTTCAATGCCTTCGCCTTCAACCGAATCACCGCTAACACCGTTACAATCGCCAACAACAACAACAACAACAACGCAGCAGAGTCAAAACGCGGCGGAGGCCTAAAATGTTGCCTGAACTGGAGTTAGCCTAAGCGTAGTTTTATTGTAGCGAGCAGCATGTTGCTGACGCTTGGCAACATGTTGCACAAACACTAAAATGTAGCTTGAACTAGTGAGAGCCTAAGCGTAGTTTTATTGTATCGAGCAACATGTTGCTGGCGCTGGGCAACATGTTGCACACACACTACAATGTTGCGAAGCACAATTCAACTAACATTTATACATATACTTATACATAGGTATGAACACACCCATACGCATATATACATCATTTCAGTGCTTTGCTTTTGCGCGGCGTGTTTTTGTTTTTGGTTTTTATTTTATTGGCAGCCAATCGAGATGCTTGCATTGCATACTTGCAGGCGTACCTCAATTCTATTTCAAAATGTGATAAATCAGCAAAAACAATGCAAGCACACCACAGCGTAGCCGCAATTTATATACATAAATACTATTAAAAAATGAAATCATATACACGCATAGACATACACATAGACATATATAAAATATTAATATAAAAAGTAAACTTATGTATATAAAGTAGTTACAAATATGCTACAGCTATATAGTATACAAAAAACATACATAAGTACATACATATTATTAAATATTAACAAAGCAAAGTTAAAGAAAAACCAACAACAGCAACAACAACAAAAATAATACAACAAACATMAAAATACAGTGAAAGTACTCATTTTCTAGCATTAAAGTATGTAACTAGTCACAACATACATAGCATACAAGAAGAGAGAGGGATTCGGGAAAGGCTGCGGTAGCGCTGCAGGCGACCAAATTTTGTCGTCAACACACCCAGCATACATACATATAAACATATTTAGCAAAACTGTTAGCATTGTAGTGATCTCAGACGAAAGTTTTTCCGCGCCTTTAAAACAAAAATCAAAAACTGAAAAACTCACAAAAAACAAAACAAAAAAAAAAAAATTATAAAAAATTCTCTAACAATCATTCAAAGCGCTATAACACATTTGTTGGCCACATTGCTATTACTCCCGTTACGCATTGAAATTAAACTTTGAATAACAAAATTTTCAAAGTTTTTAAATATTTTAAAAGTTTATAAAATCTAAAAGATATGTATTAGAGAATTTTGAAAACAAACACTGCTCACACCAAGAGCACATTTTCTGCTTATATTATTATATAAACATATATTTTAATGCATTTTCGCCTTAATATTCATGCTTTTTGTACGAGTAACCTTTGCTGCTCCTAAAAATATGCCAAATATTTCTAAGCTTAGTAACGTAGCGTCTAGCTTGGCTTCTAGCTTTGTTCAAAATCAATTGGGACTTTTTGTTATTGTTGCTTATCATGCAAACATGCTTTTGTAGCACTGAACAACTATAGTATTTTAACCGGTTATTGTATACGTAGCGCGTAATAAATTCGTATTTATAATTTCTATATAGAAAATGTACTGATTGATAACTAAAAGTTTAACATTTTATTGAGCGTAGTGAATAAAATGTGAGCATAGTTCGTAAATGGTAGTGAAACGTTGAGAACTTAATTAAGAAATGCTAAGTAATAGCCGAAGCAAGTAAGAAATGTAATATTTATCATATCGGCCAAGAAAAACAATTTAACAACAAAAATAACTAATAAATAATATTTATTTTGAAATATTTTTATTTTAT